AACAGGTGGGCATGGATGTGTTCGATAAAATTTTATTCTGGTGTTGAGTTTGAATTAAACCTGCTGCATCTCACATCTCCGGAACGGCCTAATGAGGAGCATTGCCTGCAGGGACAGGTGTGTGGGCTCCGCTCCCTGAGCTGTCTGTCCCCTGAGACGTTTGATACCTGTTTGAAGGAGATGCATGATTAAAATAGATGTTCCTTAATTGTTTATGGGGGCAGGGGAAGTAAATCTCACACTCCATCTTGCTCTCCACCCTTGGAGCCCTGCCTTATGACAGTGGGCGGAGGTGGGGGTCTGTGGCGTTTCCCTTCTCTGTCTTACCTTGAAAAGCTGTGTAAGCTGCCTTTTTTGATCTTCAGAGACCATGGGCTCAAGTATTAATTGGTTTACGTTTATGCATCTTCATTTTATTTACATTTCAGAGAAGTCCTCAGACATAACAGGTTTGGGGAAGTTTCTGTAACTGTATATAACTTCAAAGCAATGAACTCTGGGCATGCGAGGAAGGTATTTTCCCTCCCAGAGGATTTATGTGAGTTTGGGTCAGCTGCCTCGTGTGAATGGGACCAGATCATGGAAGGCTGGCGGAATCTGAAGAAACTTCTGGTTGAGATGCACCAGAGCAGGCAGTGGAGGTGGAATGGCAGAGACAGAGTGAGCATCCGTCTCTGAAAAGACTCAGTGCTGCCTGTCGGAAGCAAGAGGACGGAGAGGCTGTTCTTGTCCCCATGTGTGAGGAGAGGAGGGCGGACAGGCGGAGCGTCTGGTCTGCTGGACAGGGGCCATCCTGCCTCACGAGCACCAGGTCAGGGAAGTCCCTGGCCGGAACATGCCCGCCTCTTAGCTGGGGCTGTGGCCTATGGGGGTGCGCTGTGGGCAAGATGCTGGGGCCACCCGGGACACCCAGGGGCTCTGGGGTATGGCCCTTTTTCCAGGCCACCCAGGAGGAACAGGAGGTCAGGGCTGGTCCCAGGACACCTTCTCTGGAGTCACATCCACGCTCAGAGATGCTGGCTTATGTCTGTCTCACCCAGGCTGGTCACTGGGGCCCCATGGACCAGCCGGCCTGGCTCTGCCCAGTGCCTGACCACAAGGCAGGGCCTGGGCGGTAGCCCCTCACCCATGTGCTCCCCACACTCTTAGTTCCCATAGCTCTTCCTTCCAGTCTGCTCAGGAGCTTTTGGGAGAGTGGGACTTCCCTGGTGGCTCAGATGGTAAAGCGTCTGCCTACAATGTGGGAGACCTGGGTTCAATCCCTGGGTCAGGAAGCTCTCCTGGAGAAGGCAATGGCAACCCACTCCAGTATTCTTGCCTGGAGAATCCCATGGATGGAGGAGTGTACAGTCCATGGGGTCACAAGGAGTCGGACATGACTGAGAAACTTCACTTTCTTTTGGGAGAGTGCTCACTTTTCCCACAGGGGAAGAAATGTGGTCCAGATAAGAATGGAGTGGAACTAAGGTCAGCCAGGCAGTCAGCAGGTGGCTTAGAAGAGTTGGGGGCCCACACTCTCAAGAGGGCAGCATGATATCAGTGATGAAGAGGCCAGTTTGGGAGGTTGCTGCCTCTCCCTTTAGAGTTGCCCAACTCACTTTTTATTGACCACAAAATTGCCCAGCTTTTAAATGTAGCATTATTTGATCACTTCTAGCTGAGTAGGAAGCAGTCTTGGCAAAAGCTGTGTGGTGTGGAGGCCACACCAGGTTATCCTGCATCATGATACTGATACAGGTGTGGGGAAGGCACGCAGCCCTTAGTCATTCATCAGTTAATGTTACTAAAGAATTTATCATGCACAGCATAAATATATTTGGAAAATGCAAAACAGTTTTTAAAGCTTTGTGAAAAGGACCAGTCTCAACTGGTCTTAATTGGATGTTAAGGAAAGCAAGGAGGGAAAAGACAGTTGTGAAATTTGGGATGTGGAGGAACTGAAGGGGAGAAGTTGGAGCATAGAATTCTAAGGCCTCCCACCAGCTCCTCTGGAAGGATGCTCACTCTGCTTGATGGTAACTCTCTGTACCCACCGCTCATGAGCATCAGGCTGCCCATGACCGTAACCTCGAATACCTGAGCCTATCTAGTTACTTCCCTAGGGTATGTAGCTAGATTTTCCCATCTGAACTTTGTATTTAGTTGGCAACCTGTTAAAAAAGAAGTACAAGGTGGGATGGTGAACTGAAGGTGTCTTCTTTGATGGCATTCTTGGAGCTTATTTCCTGAATTCTGAGATAGTGCAGACCTTGGATATGTGGAATAGGAGATGCTTTTGCAGCCAGTACATCCTGGGGAACCACTCAGAGTCAGCACCTTCCCGTGCGTGCTTCTGCACACGGGCTCACAGGTGCACCATCACACCCATATTCTTTTGGAAGTGAGACTGCTCTGGGCTGTGATCTTGAGCAAGTCGCTTACCTCCTTTGAATGCCCCTGTCTGCAGTCATACAGGGTGAATAACACTGGCTTTGCGTGGCTCTCAATAGAATGAAGTAAGATAGAGTCTGAAATCAGTTAACGAGAACCTGGCATGTTAAGGTATTGGAAACACATTTCTTCTCTTGCCCCACAGGCTGTTTCCAGACTTTTCCATTTATAGATCAACCACCCAGTCAAGGCTGTTGACTGAATGAGCAGATCATTATCATACACCTGCCGTGTGTAGGACCCTCTGATAGCTCCCAGTGAGCCTCAGAAGTAGGGTGTGGGGCCCTGTCTTGGAAGGTTCGAAGGGGAAGGATCATACTCTTGAGCCTGCAGGGTGGGGGTGGGGAGGGGGTGTTGGGTGGGAGGAAGCAGGGTGGGGTGNGTAGAAGCAGAGAGGACGGCTACATGAGAGGGGTCTGTAGGAGGGGGTCTGTGACTGACTGTCTAGTGGTGGAATCGGGGGGGCTGACTTTGGAGTAAAGACCGACAATCTGTGTTCAGACCAATTGACGTTTGCAGAGGCAGCAGCGCGACCCTGAAAGGGGGGCTCCTTGTGGAGGTTGGGAGGCCCCTCATGCCTGTGCTGTATCAGGGATGCTCCTTCTGGGACAGGTTTGAGCTCCCCCTCTCAGAAAGTCTGAGGCCAGTGTAGCAGGGCCTGCAGCCCCAGGACTGTTTTTCCTTCTTGGGAGCAGACTTGCTCTCTCCTCTCCAACCCGCTGCACTCACCCGTGCACGGGGAGGAGGCCCCCGAAGGCCCGGTTCAGTGAACCCAGGAGCTGTGGCCTCCTGAAAAGGAGAGGTTTGGAAGGCTCCCTGGGCACTGAAGTCCCCGTGCGGCCTTTGTAGGATGGTGAGGTCACCAGTCACAAGGCAGGTCCCCTCAGACATGGGGCAGAGCATCAGCTGGTCTAGAACATGCGTGCAACATGTTAAACGCATTTTTCATGTTATGCAAAGAAGTCTCGCTAATGTTAGGAAGTTACAAACCTTTCTAACCTTCATTCATTTTTCCAGCTGCAGGGAGAGCTAGTCCTGCTTCAGGGGGTGGGGTGGGGTTAATAATACTCAGATTATAATGCTCTCTTAAAGCAGCACTGAAACCCCTCAAAGCCAGCTTCCAGAACAAAGGGAACTGAAAGGGAACCACTCAGAACTTTTGTAATATCAGGTTACACCTGATACATTTTATTTGCCCCAAACTTCTTTAAAGGTAAAGCATCTGCCTGCCATGCAGGAGACCTGGGTTTGATCCCTGGGTCAGGAAGATCCCCTGGAGAAGGAGATGGCAACCCACACCAGTACTCTTGCCTGGAAAATTTCATGGATGGATGAGGCCGGTGGGATACAGTCCATGGGATCACGGAGTCGCACACGACTGAGCAACTTCGACAAACTTCTTTAGTAGGATACCAAATCTTAGAAGATGTAAGATTTCCCTTTTCATTTCATCGAGGATTGTTGTCTCCTTTAAAAGCCAGAGGCCACTGGATTTCCAGTCCTGTCTTCCAGGGGAGTCCAGTCCCCTTCAGATGGGGTCTGCAGCACTCTTGCGTATACTGTGATCTGAGCCATTTCCTTGCTGCTGTCTGTGGAACAGGGAGGCTTTGCAAGAGCACTTCCCGGTGGCTCACTTCTCGGTGAGCAGAGGAGTAATGCCAACCCAGCAAGCCCTGCTCAGCTCCTGGGCCACAGGGCAGAATGCCCCGTCAGGAAGGCCCAGGCTGGTGCAGCTGCTCCGCGCCCAGGCACCTCCCGATGCTGGATCCACGCGGGAGGCAGCCGCCTCTCCTGCAGCCAGCTGGAAGCTAGGAAAGTGGTTCTTGACCCTGGCTGCATCAGAGTCTCCCAGTGAGCTTAAAAAAACACCAGTGCCTGAGTTTCACCCCCAGGGATCTAACTCACATGGCCTGGAGTGGGGCCTGGGCCTCAGGAGTCCTCAGAACCAGCCAGGCAACAGCAGCATGCAACCGGAGACAGGACCGAGGCCGCAGGGCTGCGAGAGTGCCGTGCTGGGGCCTTCTAGTCCGCGCCGGCCCATCCAGTGCGTGCTGTTCCGCCTGTTTCATTTGATCCATCCCAGTACAGTCCCGTTCACTCACATTTTTCTTGAGTCAGTCTTCTGTGGCAGACACTGGAAACATAAGGAGGCATAATTCTGATCCTGCCTAAAGAGAACAAACTATGCCCTGAGCTGTGACAGATGCCCTCTAACACAGCGGGTAGTGGGCTGGGATACAGAGTGCCAGCGAAGGGGACTGGTTTTTGTAGGGGAAGGGGAGGGAGAGGATGGCTAGGGAAAGGGCTGACAGGTTTTTCCCCTGTGCTGGATTGTGTGTGTATGTGTGTGTGTGCATGTGTGTATATGTGTGTGTATGTGTGTATATGTGTGTGTATGTCTGTATATGTGTGTGCATGTATATGTGTGTATGTATGTCTGTATGTGTATTTGTGTATATGTATGTCTCTGCATGTGTGTGTCTGTGTGTGTGTGTGTGTGTGTGTGTGTGGCAGGGAGCGGGGTGGTGGTGGTGGAGACAGCACTTTTCACAGAACGTCTTATCACCGCGATGACCCACTGGGTGTTGGTGAGGCTTCAGGGTGCCCGCTGGCAGCGCTTGGGGAGGGCAGGGGCAAGTCCCTCCTCATGGTGGCTTCTGGGCGGGCGGGCTGTGCCCTACGCCCCCTCCAGGTGCTCGTTCTGGCCACAGGCCTGCTTGAAACTCCGGGCCCAAGGGGGCGCGTGACTGCGCAGTTGAGTACAGGTCTTTGGCCCATGTGTCTGTTTCACCAATTTTGCTATTCTTTTTCCTGAGTAGTTGAAACAAGCATGTGGGTCCCTGTGAAAATGACCGTCTAAGGCAAAAATGCCACCAGGAGGTGGGACCGTGGTTATGTGTGTGTGCGCGCACGTGCCTGTAGGCTTTCTTACCATGGTGAGATTCTCTGTGCTGTGTCACGCCAGAACTACTGGCTAGCTGGTCTTTGACCCTGCGGCTCGGACGCTGGGCTGAGTGGAGGATAACTGGCTTGGAGAGTGCTAGACACAAGGGGGGCTGTGCCCTCCCACAGCCCGAGCATTTTGGGAGGTTGGGACCCTGTCAGAATGGAGCATGTCCTCCAGGGAGCACAGCCTCCTTCCATGCGGGGCCATCTGCCAACTTTGTTTCAACCATGGACGTTTCCACTGACAGTTCTCAAGGGGTTCTGCCCTGAAGCTTTCCGGTGGGGATCTGCACTGCCCCCCACAACCACCTCCCTGAAGTGTCACAGTGAACAGACTCAGGTTTTAACTTCAAAGGAGACGGGAGAAAGCTGTGCTTCCCGGCAGGTCAGGCAGTACCACTTTAAGACAGTTTTATTTGGGCAGTAAAATCTCTTGAGTTGTTCTTGGCAGAAGTTCTAATGAAATGGAAACCTTGCAATCTGCTTAGAGCAGTAAGTATGGTCTCACCCTGTGATTTGGGGACTAAAACTTGTAGGCGATCTTCGTAATTGATCTGATTTATTTCCAAAGGATTCGTATTGATGCATCCTTTCAGAAGGTAGAGGAGTCTGTATCCCTTGGTGTGAGTAAACTTTGTACCTGAGGCTGGAGGAACTGCTGAGCTGTGGTGGAGACCAGTGCTTCTCAAAGTGTGGTCCTCAGGGCTACAGCAGCAGTATCATCTGGGGACTTGTTAGAAATGAGTGTTCTTGGTGAGCATCCACGCCCTCCAGGTGATTTTGATGCACACTGGAGTTTGAGAGGCATTGCTTTAGTATGTTTATAGCTTTTAGAAAGTAGTGTGGAGGGAGAGAGAAGCAGGGATGTCCGTGACCGCCTAAGACAGATTGGCTCTATCTCCCGAATCCGTGCTGGCAAAGGTGGTCCCGAGTGAACCCAGAACAGGGTCTGTGGGCTGCAGGGTCCAGTGGGCAAACATGGATAATACCCAGTCAGGTTCCTTGTGGGAGGTTCACCTTGTTTTGTTGATGACTCAGAGGGAAGCTAGCGGCAAGTATCCTGGGAAGGAGGGCAGACTTTTAATGCTGTCAACATTGGTTCCAATTGAAGGGAAAAGTTCTCTGCATTGTATATATGTTTTTAAGAATTAATAGTCACTCCATTAAAGTGGCAAGTTAAGAATCCTAGTCTTTAAGTTTTTTGTTCAATTTGCAAATCATGTTATCATTATAATCTAGCAAGTTTTTGAAATTCTTTTTTTTTCATTTATTTTTATTAGTTGGAGGCTAATTACTTTACAGTATTGTAGTGGGTTTTGTCATACATTGACATGAATTAGCCATGGATTTACATGTATTCCCCATCCCGATCCCCCCTCCCACCTCCCTCTCCACCCGATCCCTCTGGGTCTTCCCAGTGCACCAGGCCCGAGCACTTGTCTCATGCATCCAACCTG